TCAAAAAAGAGGACCAGCATAAATATTCAGCAAATACTAAAACAGCAGCAATGAAGGAAGTGATAACATGATTCATAAACAAAATAAGCTCAGCACAGAAAATTATATAGAACGAAGAAATCGACACCATGAAAAAGGACCTAACAAAAATGACAGCAACAGATTCACATTTGCCGATAATTACGTATCTGGCAAGGGATTTAGATCTCTAAGATTTATAGCGGAAGAGTGGATGACCAAACTATGGTAATATACACATAATGGAATGCTATGCAGTTGTAAAGAATAATGTATAGTCTGCAAAACATTGCGTAATATGGATGAACTTGGAGGACATTATGCTGAGTGAAATAAGTCGATCACAGAAGGACAAATACAGTACTACTTCGTTGCTGTGGAGGGTCAAGGAAAGGTTTATATATAGAGGGAAACTGTCTTTGTTGGTTGCCAGGGGTGGGAGGGGAGAGGAGGAAACACTGCAAAAAAAAAAAAAAAACCCGCATTGACCCATGTCACTTTAGTTTTGTGTATTTCACTGTACCTAAATTATATTTCAATAAAATTCATTTAAAAAAAAAGCAAAATCATGATATATGGGGGAAAAAAACTATAAATTACTTTCAAAAGCCTTTAAATCATCCTCATTCTGAAGAATATTAGGAAACAAGGGGGAAAACTGACTTACCTTTCGAACAATACTGTCTTCCACATTTGATTTTTTATTGCTGCCTTGTTTTCCCATTAAAGTAATCTCTAGTTGACAGAAAGGTTTTGGTAAAATATCACATTGTGTAAAGAATTTTCGCCACTCAACAATATATGCTTTCAGCAAAGCTGTATCATCCTGATGGCTCAGTACTCTCTGAAAGAAAAGAATCATGTCAAGTGGAAATAAAGATAGATGCTTTAAAGAATAAATGTATCCATGTCATAATTTTTAAATGTTTTGCTACAATCTTTATTACAGCAATACAGATTTTCTTCAAAGTTAAAAAATGATATTACCCCCATTCTTATCACTCTAAATAAATAAAATGATCTCAATCTTAATTTGGACTAGTCTTACATATAAGCCTTCAGAATGTAGCTGAAATCATGCTTTAGGTACAATTTTGTGTTTTGTGTTTCCTCTTACCTAATCATGTGTATTCTCATTATGATCATCACTATTAGTGACTGTTGCATCTAAGAATATAATTTCTTTAGAATTGAGAATCCAGAAATAAATTCATGTATCTATGGCTAAGTGATATGGACACAGATGCCAAGACAATTCAATGGGGAAGGAGTAGTCTTTTCACCAACTAATGATGCAACAAGTGAATATTCATATAAAAAGGAATGAAGGTAGGCGCCTACCTCATGGCATATCCAAAAATTAACTCAAAATGGATAAAGATCTCAATTCAAGAGTTAAATTGCATATGAGTAAATATTCACTATCTTAGATTTGGCAATGAACACCAACAGCACAGTCAGTCAAAGAAAAAAAACAATGTAAAGTGTACTTCATCAAAATTAAAAACTTGTGCTTAAAAATACATTAGCAAAACAATGAAAAGAAAACCTAAAGAATGGGAATAAGTATTTATAAATCACGTATCAGATAAAGATCAGGGTAAAGAATTCTTACAACTCAACTGAAAAAGACAAATAACCCAACTTAAAAATGAGCAAAGGATTTAAACAGGTATTTCTCCAAAGGTAACACAAATGGCCAAGAAGCATGTAAAAAGATGCTCAACATTCTTAGTCATTAGGGAAATGTAAATCAAAACCACAATGAAATTACCGCTTCACACCCAACAGGATGGCCACAAATAAAAAGATGGATGATAAGAAGTTCTGATGATGATGTGGAGAAATTATAACCCTCATACACAGCACTTTGGAAATTGTGCCAAATATCACAATTTGACAGGTCCTCAAAAAGTTAAACATAGAGTTATTGTATGACCCAGCAATCCCATTCTAGGTATATATATTCAAGAGAGGGGGAAAAGAAAGTTCATATAAGAACTTACACATTAATGTTTATAGCAGAATTACTGAAAATAGCCAAAAAGCAGAAACAAACCAAATGTCCACCAACTGATAAATGGATAAATAAAATGTAGTATGTAGTATATGCATAAAATAGAATATCATTTAGTCATAAAAAGAAATGAAGCACTGATACATGCTATGACACAGATAACCTTGAAAATATGCTAAGTGAAAGAAGCCAAACATGAAAGACCACATGCTGTACATTTACATGAAATAACCAGAAGAGGCAAATTCACAGAGACAGAAAGTAGATCAGTGGTTAACAGACACTGGGAAAGGATTTGTGGGGAATGAATGTTAATGGGTGTAGGGTTACTTTGGGGATGATGAAAATGTTCTGGAATTACAACATTTTTATGCAAATAATGTACATGTTATACAGTTTTTGTGAACTGTGCAACCCCTCATGTCTTAAGTCCTGTGTATGCTATGTGCATTATATGCACGTGCATGTTATTTACACAGCTGTGCTATATGAGAAAATGTGGTAGTGGGTAATGATTACAGTCTTCCAAAAAAACAAAAACAAAAAATGACCCTTCCTTGGGTTTCTGAAGCACTATCTCTAGCAGATGTGACACTGTGAGACTTCTGAGCCTAGACCTGAAGATGTTTTACTGATTCTATTTTCACCTCAAAGGCTAGTTTCCTTGAGAAAGAGAAACTATGTGCTGGGAGAGAGGTACACCTGAAGGCTAGCACCAACTATCAGATATGTGAGTGAGGTTTTCCTGGACCATCTAGTCCCTGCAGAACCACGAGCCAACAGCTGTGACATTAATAAGCCTTAGGTAAAATCAGCTGAGTTCAGCCCAAATTGCTAAACTACAATCTTATAAGCAAATAGTTAATAATCTTAAAAAAAAAAAAAAAAAGAATCCAATTTCCTAATTATTTCCCACGCACTGTACGTTTATTTTTATTTCCCTTTTTGTTGTTTTAAATAATTCTATAATAACCATTTTTAATGCATATTGCCTTTCCAGAGCCATGATGCTACACAGTTAAGTACTCAGCACTTGGCTGCTGACTGAAAGGTTGACAGTTTGAAGCTACCCAGCTCCTCTGCAGGAGAAAGACCTGGTGATCTACCTTCTGTAAAGATTACAAGAAAACCCCACAGGGAGTTCTAGAGCTGGAATCAACTTGACAGCAACCAAAAACTCAACAACAACCTAAAAATGTAAGTTCAATTAGACACTTTCTATTAAAATGACTCAGAGCTAGATTTCCATAAATTTTAAATCATTTGAAGTCATACACCTGTATCTGACACTTTATTCTGTTATTCCTAGAATATAATTGTTCTGAATTAGGAGCATTAAATCCATTCTCAGGTTTTTGTGTAGGTTTATCTTCCAGACTTTACCAAATAATATTACAGGGAAACTCTTCCATATTTCATTTTTCAATGTGGAGTATATTTTTAAACATTTGTTAAATATCCAAGATGACTCTTTATGAGTCTATTTTCAGAAATTGAAGAATAAAGCACAGTTGGAAATAGACAATTTATCTTCACTAGAAATCATAAATAGACTGATATATTTTCCAATGCAAGTGGAAACTGTATTTCTGAGTCAATTTTAACATTTCATTTTCTAAGTAAAATCTAAAAATATGACTTATTTTCATTAAAAGTTAATTTCTTATAAAACTAAAGTTTTCTGAAATCATTAATCAAGATAATAGAATAAATCTTATTATCAATAAAACACTTAATTTTCTATATAATATCCAATGTGACATCACTCTTATCTCAACAACATAGTGGCTATTAACTGAATTAAGTTTGTACCAGTCACATCTCAATTTCAATATGTTCTTTTGTCATATATAAAAAAAGTCACATTTTAAATTTCCAACTGCAATTTAACAAGATTTTTTTTAAAAAAAGTATTAATGTTATACAAGACATTCATGTCAAAACTGAAACTAAAGAATAACAAAATGAAGAAATTTTAGCTCTCTAGTCAGACTAGTGAGTCTTGGTGATGCAGTGGTTAAAGTGCTTGTCTGCTAACCAGAAGGTCAACAGTTCAAATCCACCAGTTGCTTGATGGGAGAAAGACGTGACAGTCTCCTTCCGCATAAAGATTTACACCCATGGAAATCCTACAGGGTAGTTCTACTCAGTCCTATAGGGTAGCTGTGGGTCAGAATTGACTTGACTACAATGCGCTGTTTTCAGACTTTACTGTATAGAAAGGAAAATAGCCTCATGGCTATTTTTCAAAGTGGTAAGGGATTAATTAGTGATGCCATAGCTGATTCAAATCAATATTTATCTTTTGCATTAATTTTCCCTAAAAGAAAATGCTAGAAACAAAATAAAACTAGTTTTTACATAATTGATCTAATGTCTAAATGAGCTTTGTCTTCATTTCAATAAAGCTAAACACTTAAACATTTTACCAACTCAAGACTGCTGAATTTTAGCTCAGCAGCAGCAATGCAAAGAAGAGTAAAAGGATTTTATAGTCAGAGTTGTTGTTGTTGTTGTTGTTGTTGTTGTTAGGTGCTGTGGAGTCAGGGCCAACTCATAGCGACCTCTCCTTGGGTTTCCAAGATGGTATCACTACAGAAGTAGATTGCCCAACCTTTCTTCCGAGGTTTGAACTGCCAGCCTTCTGGTTAACAGTCAAGTGCCTTAGGCACTATGCTACCAGAGCTCTATCTGGAATTGGAGAAAATTACTGTCAGCCTGAAAGGAGGCATTAATCCTAAGGGGGAAAAAAAAAAAACAGATTTATGTGGACTGAGGTAAAGTCAAAAAGAAACATGGTGGGGACTCTTAAAGAGCTTATAAAAACTGAATTACCTATAGCATCTTTACATTGAGAATAATAATGTACTCGACAGAAAAATTACTAGGGGGAAAAATGACAAATGACAATTATGTTATTAAAAAATTTATTTAATGACATGTCATAAGTCAATGGAATATTTTTACTTTAGCAAGTCCTACCTTCAAAATCAGAAAATACGATACTCTCTGAGTAAAGTTTTAAAACAAATCTAACATAAAGATATAGAACTTACTGCCTGAGCTTGCTTAATAAACTCAAGAATGTCTTCTTTTAAAGCCTGATGAATTTTGGCTGGGCCTTTATCATCCCAGAGACATACTGCATGCACATCCCTGTAAAAATAAAGCAGGTACATAAACATTAATAACGGAACAAGAATAGAGACAAAACTATCTTACATTTTCTATTAATACTGCTTCCAACCATGGGTCATGCTAGACCAAACCTAGCTGCAAGAGAGGCCAAAAACTGCATAGTAAACTATCCAGCCTCTAACAGTGCAAGGTAAGCAAAGGGGAGAAACCAGGGACCAGGTGTTGGCTTAGCTAAATGTTTTAGTTACCTAGTACCACTCTGACAAGAATATACCACAAATGGGATGGCTTTAACAAACAGGAGTTTATTCTCTCACAGTTTGGAGGCTTTAAGTCCAAGTTCAAAGTGCCAGGCTATATAGGAGCTGGGTCAAAGCCCTCAACCCTGGGGTCCAGCTCTGCCACCTGCTCCTGGCCCACTGGAGCTAGAGGCATTTCTTCACTCAGACAGCTGCTGGCTGCTGAAGCTGACAAACCCAAGGTTGACAAGTAAAAAGGCACAGTCCCGATGTTACCAAACCATATGGCAGGCCATTAATTTAAGTCCATTTTAAGTCTCAAGGTCAGCAGAGCATGGCAGGCTGCTGAACAATGACATGGCCACATGCAGGGTTCAAGCATGCCATAAGCTAGAGACCGTTCCCAAAGCTGCCGCTTATACACGGGAAGCAGACCATATACCCAAAGGCAGCCACTCAGCTGCTGAGAGTAGATTCCACCATGGAGCTGATAACCAGTCTCATCATGGGGAATACTACATTCAGCTGCCCAGTCACTCAACCAGACCTACCCAAGTTGACACAAAAACATAACCACCACAATTCTACCCCTTGTCAACTTGACACCTGTACAGATCTTCAATGGGTGATATCTGTACAGTTCTCTCTCACTGAGCGGCTCCAGTCCCCTAGTTCCCCTAAGCGGTGACCTCACCCCCTTGGCCTGGCAGGCCCTGTTCCTCTCCCTCTTGGGCATGGCAACCCCACCCCCTCACTCTTGGGCAGGGGTTATGGCTCTATCCTACTGGCTCACATGAACAAGCAGCCCCACACTCCAGAACCAAGTTGGTGAAGGCCTGGCTCTTTGAAACCTAGGGGACTTCCACCCCCAAAGGCCATGGTCCTACCCTTTCAGGCTGAGGCAGCTCTGCTTCTGTTTCCTTGGTCTCCCCACTTCTGCCAATTAATGCCAAAGGCAATCCACTCCACTGGAAATCTTTCTCCCTCAAAGCATTCAACTTTCTTGTTCCGTGGGATGGCCAACCTGCTACTCCATTTCATACCAGTCTTTTCTACCAATTAATGCCCAAAGGCAATGCACTCTGCCAGTAAGCCACCTAACCAACGGCATCAAGCTTTCTCCTTCATGGGTTGGTAAGGCTGTCACTGTCTCATGCTGGTTCTCTTGGCTGTGCTACTACCATCTCTCATGCCAGTCTCTGGGTTCTGTTCCTGCTGTTTCTCATGCCAGTCTCTGCTCTGCTCCTCCCATCTGTCATGCTGTATGCCAGGGTCTCTGCTGGGGTCTTGGGTCAAGGACGCACTCCACTCCTGTTTCCACATTTTAGGTATCTGTCAGAGTAGCACCCCACTCCTGGTACCAAATTCTGTTCTGGTTACCTAGTACGGCTCTGACAAGAATATACCACAAATGGAATGGCCTTAACAAACAGGAGTTTATTCTCTCACAGTTTGGAGGCTTTAAATCCAAGTTTGAAGTGCCAGGCTCTAGGGGCTGGGTGAAAGCCCTCAACCTTGGGGGTTTAGTTCTGCCTTCTGCTCCTAGCTCACTGGAACTAGAGGTATTTCTTCACTCAGACAGCTGCTAGCTGCTGAGGCTGACAAACCCAAGGTTGACAAGTAAAAAGGCATAGTCCTGATGTTACCAAACCACATGGTAGGCCATTAATTTAAGTCCATTTTAAGACCCAAGGTCGGCAGAGCACGGCAGGCTGCTGAACAACGACGTGGCCACATGCAGGGTCCAAGCATGCCATAAGCTAGAGACCATTCCCAAAGCTGCTGCTTATATACGGGAGGCAGACCATATACCCAAAGGCAGCTACTCAACTGCTCCCAGTAGATTCCATCATGGAGCTGATTACCAGTCTTATCATGGGGAATACTACATCCAGCTGCCCAGCCACTCAACCAGGCCTAGCCAAGATGACACAGAAACATAACCACCACACTAATCAATCGTGTCTATCATAAAGCCTCTCCATATTAGAAAAATCTAGCCAAAACAGAAAACAATTAAAGACAGAGAAATTAAAAAATAAATCAATAGACATGATTTAATACGTAGAAATTTCTGAACCCCCTCAGAGAAGGCTTCCGAAGAGCACATACACACGCATAATTTTTAAAAGGTAGTATTTTTATAGGCCATATTTTCTAATCAGTCATAAATAAGTAAATAAATAAGTAACTCCCAAAGTCTTCCTATTTAGAAATTAAGTGCCCAGATACTACATGAATTAAAAAAAAAAAAAAAATTAAAATGAAAAATACTAACAATCCAGAGAGCAATGAAAAGGAAAACATTACATACCATAAAACCTATGGTAACAATAAAAGCAGTATTTAGAAGAAAATTTACAGCCTCGAATATTTTTATTATTACAGAAATATAGAAAAAAATGAAAAGAATTCAGAATTCATCTTAAGAAGCTAGGAAGTCAAACAAATCAAACAGAAGACATTAATAAAAAAGCAAATCAATGAATCTGAAAACAAACGAGCAAAAATGAAAATAAGTAGAAAAAATTTACCAAGAATATTTAACTCTCTTATTTTCTCTACTGCACAGGTGCTCTATCTCACTGATTTTTGCTTTTGTCCTTATAATTCCTTCTTTCTACTTTCTTTGGGTTTAATTTGTAATTATTTTTCTAGTTCCCTGAAATGAAAGCTTAGATCACTTTTCAGCCTTTCTTTTGATTCCTAATATGTATATCAAAGGAGGTCTGCTGATGCAGCAGTTAAAATATTTGACTGCTAACCGACTCGATGGCAAATAACAACAATCAAAAGGTCAGCAGTTGGAATCCACCAGCCAATGTGTGGGATAAAGATGAGGCAGTCTACTTTTGGAAAGATTTACAGCCTTGGAAACCTTATGGGGAAGTTCTGCTCTGCCCTATGGGGTCACCATGAGTCAAAATCAACTCACTGGCAGTGAGTATATGCACCAAAGAATATAAACTCCCCTCTAATGCTTTAGTTGCATCCCACAAATTTTCATTGTTATTCACTTCTAAAGATTTCATAACTTTCCAAGTAATTTTCTCTCTGACTCATAAATTATTCAAAAATATAATGTTTCATTTCTGAGCAACTGGGTATTTTCTAATTCATAAAAGGAGATATTCATAAAGTATGCACACACATGAAAAGGTTTCATTAGTTATGACAGTTTCATTATTTATCAGGGAAATGTAAATTAAAAACACAATGCACTTGTGAGTATTGTTGTTGTTGTTGTTATGTGCCGTCGAGTCGGCCCCGACTCATAGCGACCCCTCCTTGGGTTTCCGAGGCAGTATCACTACGGAAGTAGGATTGCCCAACCTTCCTTCCGAGGAGTGGCTGGTGGGTTTGAACCACCAGCCATCTGGTTAGCAGGCAAGTGTCTTAGCCACTATGGGTATGCATTTACAGGTGTCCCTGTAGGCATATTGTGTATACATGTTTACGTACACTGGATATATATTCATATACATAACTCAATTCACTGCCAACAAGTTGGATCTGACCCTTAGCGACCCCTCCTGCAGTTTCCGAGGTGGTATCACTACGTAAGTGGACTGCCTGTTCTTCCATCCGAGGAGTGGCTGGTGGGTTTGAACCGCCAGCCTTCTGCTTAGCAGTCAAATGCCTTAGGCACGACGACACCATCAGAGCTCCCATTCATATACATTGGGGGCACAGTTATAGATACTACCTAGACATAAAAAAAAAACAAAAAACGCACTGCTGTCAAGGCGAATCCGACTCATAGCAATCCCTCCTTGGGTTTCTGAGGTGGTATCTCTATGGAAGTAGATTGCCAGTCTTCCTTCCAAGGAGTAGCTGGTGGGTTTGAGCCATCAGCCTTCTGGTTAGCAGTGTCTTAGGCACTACGCCACCAGAGTTCAACCAAACAAATACCTTACGAATTGGTTTACTGGGTTTGAAGGCTTGGGACCATAGTCTCATGGGACAAGTCAATTAATTAGCATAACGTAGTGTATAAATATGTTTTGCATCCTAGTTTGGGGAGTAGTGTATGGGGTCTTAAAAGCTCAAGAGCAGCCATTTAAGATACAACTTAACAAGTCTCTAGTTGTCTGAAACAGAAGAGAATGAGGAAAACCAAGGACTCAAAGAAGAAACAATTTCACGGGACCAATAGCCTACATGAACCATGGTCTCATCCAACTTGAAACCCTAACTAGATGATGCCTGGCTACCACTACTGACAGTTCTGACCAAAGACGCAACAGAAGGTTACAGATAGAAGGGGAGAAAAACGTAGAACAAAACTCAAAATTCTTAAAAAAAAAGTCCAGAATTACCGGACTGAAAGAGACTATAGGAACCCCCAAGACTATCACCCAAAGATAACCCTTTGAACTTGGAAATGAGCCACTCCCAGTGGTCATCTTTCATCCAAATAATAGATCAGATTATAAAATAAACAATATCACCTATGAATACCATGCTTCCTTAAATAATCAACTACATGAAATGAAATGGTTAACATTTACCCAAAAAACAAAGTTGAGAAGTTGAGGAGGGGCAGAGAAGCTAGATTAATGGAAACAAAACAAAAAGAATGTAAATAATGAGAATGTTGACACATTATGAAAAACGAAACCAATGTAACAGAGCAAGTTATATAAAAATTGTTAAATGGGAACTTAATATGATATGTAAACTTTCACCTAAGATACAGTAAAATATTAAAAAATATAGGTGTGTGTATATATGTGTGTGTATATATATATATATATATTCTAGAATGCACTACCACTC